CTAGCAACATCCATAACAAGTGGTACTTTCATTATAGCCTATCTTGGGGAAAGGGAGATATCCTCTTTTTTGCTTTTCGTAAAGAAACCGAAATGTTAACTTCAGTTCTATTCACGACTCATTCCTTTTTTTTTTACCTACAGGGTGTGAATATAATGGTCAGTGTTTAAAAAGAAATGAAACTGTAAGTGAACAGTGTAAGATACAGAGATGTGATGAACGAAATAATCTGGTTGGTATTTACACAGTTGAAACTGGTAAGTTTCTTCTACTATCAAGACTTGGTGATAAGACACCACACTTTGAAATTAATCTGTTAGTGAAAAATGATAATAGGCCCACACCGCCATTGTAGTATCGTCAAAAATGTTCCGGTGTAAAGGTTTCAACCTTAAGGCTTTGTGTTTCAATCCAGAGCAAAGTTTTACCACTCATTTCAGGCTGTCCATTTTTCAATGGAAGATGTCTGAACACTGGAGAGTTTGCTGTAGATAAATGTAGATTATATCATTGTCAAGCCGAATTGGTTAATGGTGAAGTTTGGTTCACTGCCAAAGAGAAAGCTGTCAGTGAGTATTAAATTACGAATAATACAATTTGACTGCTCCTCTTACAGCCATGAATCCTCGGTTATTATCATAATATTCCATTCTGAGTATCAAGCAAAGAGAGAAAATATGTAAATATAAGAGGATAATGATGATAACCACCAATACTTATTATCAGGAACAGAGAAAATGTCCTTATCAAACCCTGGTATATATAATTACGAACTAAAAACACTGAAGAATGAGATGAGAATAGTATTCTCAAAAAGAACTGGCCTAGGTTAAGAAGTAGGAAATAAAATCAAAGGATGAGATAGTTAGCGAAAACTACGAAAGCCGGCACAATAATAGTTAAACAGTTCTGGAAATCATATTCTAAAGGTATAGCTTGCCCGACAAGGTAATATACGCCCATTGGCAGTTTTGATTTTGAACCAAAATATTAAGCAGTAGAGTGTCTCCTAGAGTGTGTACGAGCAATTGTGAACCGCCGCAGGGACATGGGTGATGGCAATATACGCCCCCCCCCCCCCCCCCCCCAACCATTTCATGCATATATATATTATCGCCCATCCTGATGTTGAATACTGGAGCCTCTATTACTAAGGGAATTAAAAAGTGTATACTGAAGGATTAGATTTGACAAAGATAAAATTAATTATTCTAGTGTGTGAAGATGTGCATGGTGAATGTCACGGTGCTGGTATGAAGATGACACTGAGATCTAAATATGGACAAAATATCAACTGTACATGTATTGTTAATGGTTTGACAGTGGGCTATCAGTGTTAATGGGTTTGAAAAGCTGAAACTAATTTGTGAGTGTGATCTCAATTACAAGTGTTGTCTTCAAGGAAATTCTTATTATAACGAGGTTGAAATAAATAAAACTTTCTGAAACAATGTTTTCTCATGATTTGATTCTTACATTGTATTTTGTGGAAGGTCAACAATGTGTTTTTATACCTCCCCGATACTACGCAAAATCATCCTTTTATAAATCTTAAAAACTTACAAGAAAGGCAAACGAAGGTAATCTTTGCATATTTGAAATTTTTTTGAAGATGTAAAAGGGAGATAAAAGTTTTCAAAGTTATCCCTACAATACAGGAAGATGAATGATTCAGGATAATGAAATCAAATGGAGTTTAATGTCTTACTTGCATTAGTTTGAGCTGATAACGTGCCATGTGGGAATGATACACATAGATGCTTTGTTCATGTCAGCTGCTCAAACCTACATCACTGAAAGGGGTACCGGGTTGAAAAGTTCGACTTTGTCGACCGAATTGAACCCTACACCACACATTGGTATCAGATATTTCTAGGATAAGTTTGGATTATAGGATGTTGTATATCACAAAATAACCAATATTTTAAGAATGTTGTTGGACCAAACCAATCAGATTGTGTCTTAAAAAAAGTACTGTCGTGGGCAGTACTAACCAAGTAAATAATTATTAAATCAATAAGGTCCAATATACTTAATGTAGCAACTACTGAGTTAACAAAAGTTTTAATCAATGTCTCTTACCTTGACTAAATAACAAGCTAGCTGCACCATATGTTAGAATAATAACTTTTATCGAAATTTGACTAATTAGCATATCTACATATTATACTGGACGGTATACCCTACCAGTTCCTTGTTTCCTGTCGTCTTATTTACTAGGTAAGATTATCAATTCACATTTTAATTCCAGAAAGTCTGAAAGAACACTTAGACTCGATTTGTTAAATAATTTGTCAATTGCATTTTCATTATCTTGTTGATTAAAAACAAGACTAAATTAACGCCCATGTCTTTTGTCATTTTGGTTGAAAATTGTAAGATGTCAATTGTAATTCTCTAGGATTGATTTATATGACTTCTTGATGTTTGCACGAAGCTTTGTTCTGTATAATATTCTATCCGTGGCCATTCTGAAGAGTGCTTAATGAACATAAGTTGGTGTATCTAGGGCATTAAGATAATAAACTCCACCATCAAATCATTTTATTGTACAATGAAAAACACAGATTTTATCCATTTATTTCGTTTACTTCAAAAATATAATCTTGAATGAAGTTAATAATATATGTGTTGTTCTGTTCCAGTTCAGTCGAGATGCCTTCTTTTCAATCCATATTGGTCGCTGTCTTTGTTACAATCGCCGCTGTAAATGCAGGTATTGTATTTCTATATTACGCATACCAGTACAATATTGTATCCCAATAATTGAGTAGATAACTGAAACAATCTTTCAATTACATGTACACCCTTGTCAGTAAATAGATGTGGTGTATGCACTTTTATTTTAAATTCCTCGTGGTAACTATGTCAGAGATGCGAAGTCCGGTCTCATATTCTAAACTAAATTCTGGCTACAAAGTTTTTGACAGGCTGGGAGATTTCTATTACAATTGGAAAAGGATTATAGTGTGGCTCTCGTGTCAGATTGAAGTATTTGTTTCAGATTGTGATGTTGGTAATGGTAAAGTATTTGAAAGTGGAGAAACCTTTTCATTTGATAGACAACACTGTGTTAGTTATATCTGTGAGGGTACCATGTACAAAGTCAAGAAAGCAAGTGAGTTTATTCTTTTTAAATTAAATTCAATTCCTATGAGCGCTTTTGGGTTAAGTATTGGTTGGCTAAGAAATCAAGATAAGTATTTTGGCAAGGATCCATCCTTCGGGAACATCTGATGTCATTCACTATGACTGGTAAACCCACAACCCTCTTTAAAGTGTATATTTGGTGTTTAAATAGCAAGTTTATTCTGATCCGACGATGAAACGCACAAAAATAATAATAATTCATGGTTAATTTTTATTTAAGTAATCAGATTGTACGTTAAGTTATTGCTTTTGTACAGAATTGTTCTGAATACATATCGTGGTGCTATCAATAATGATTGAATGTGAATTTAGATAATACACAATGGGAACGCAAATCAAAGGAAGCTGTATTTGATAGACTTACATTAAGTGTAATTTGCTTGCATACTTCAGAATGTTTTGATGTAGACAGTAATAAATGTGTTGATCCGGGTACTCTAGTCAAGAGGAAAGGCTGTGTGGTTGTTGAGTGTGTAGAGAGAGACACCAAATTTGGGGCTGTTATTCATTTCAAACACAAAGAAGTCCGTAAGTAGAGATGTACATTGAAAAAACAGAGATGTTTTCAGTTTTGTTGGACAAGATGCCTTCATATCGTATAGACCAATGTATTGATAAGAATTGTGTAGGACATCATATACTCAGGGGCTGCTAACTTGACTGTACTTATGTAGATTCAATCCTGGTTATATTTAATGTCATATACGACCTAATAAGTCTTCCATTCTCATCCATATACCCTCATAAGTATTCTCATGCTTATACAATGTTCCCTCGTAAGAAACAAATGTTCAAAATTGGTATTCAGGATGAAATAAGGCATATTGTTTGTTAATCCCAAAAACTATTCTTCAATATTCCAATAATCACCTGATATGACCTGTGTATGGGGGCTAATTGATCCTAATTTTGAAATAATTGTGTGTTATAGAATGTCCAATAGGAGATAAATGTTACCCCGATGGAGATACAGTCACTTACAATGGTAAACAATGTAAATGTAAAGCAGATGATATAGCTTATAGTATAGTCTGCCCTACAGAGGCTGAACAAGCAGAGAAAAATGAGGCTGCAAAGAAGGCTGCCGAGAAGAAAAAAGACTAACCACCCACAATGATATTCTGGGTTTAATATAATATAATAAATATCATACAAACAAAATATGAATTGTAAATGAGGGTATCCTTGAGCTGGGGCTTATATCTCTCAATAATTTCTTACTGTAAATAATGGGATCTTGCTTTAAAAGTTCAACGAACTCAAATTCGGTTTCAACTGACCCAAGTTTCTAGTTGTCAAAATCTGTTCTGTTATTTGGTACGTCTTTTTGTGAGATGCATTTTAATGAGCAAGTTACGCTCATGAGATCTATGAATCAGCCACAGCACCAACTGTTGATGATGATCCATACATCTCATTCATAGATCTTCTCATCTGACACAATGCTTGATACTGAGACTGCATAGCAGCAAATGATGATGACAATACATTTAATAAACTTTCCTGAAATTGGCACAAATACAAAGGAATTAGTGGTGGTTATTATGGTTAAAGTATTTGTACTTGTGCAGTAGATTTATCTGATTACTAGAAATTCTGATCAATACACAAATACACAGAGTACAGTATCCAGTGTGGTGTACAGTACAGGATTATCAATACAGTAGAAAATAAGAGAAGTGAATTCTGTCAGCATTGTAGCCAGAACTCATCTGATGTGTTAGCTTGTTTTATTTTACACTGGATATATAATCTTGCTTCAGACACTGTACTGCCAGAGATTTAGATCTTTGTGATGTCAAATATTTGAGAACTTAAACTATTAACATAAACAAAATACATAGTAACTTACAAGTTTGTGTCTGTCCTGAGAAAACTGTGTTGTTTTATACCATTCTATGTTATCTAAATTATTATTTAGTTCACCTAATATAGGTGTTAGTAATGGGAAGACTTCACTGGCATATCTGAAGTGGACAATTCATTAAAGTAAGATCATTATTTACACATGTACATTAAAATATCAATATCAATATTATGTATTCCCAATAATTTTACTTCAAATAAATACCAGAATATTACTGTTGAAACGGTTTTAATTCTATCAGGGTTTCAATATTCTGTCAAATTTATCCTTTACAGTTTCATGCCTGATTTGATTTCCTTGAATTTTATCAATGACTCTGTGTAGTGTATGTGTACTTTATATATTTAGTGGAAGAGGAGACAGGTACTGGTAGAATTAATACCAACTATAAATTGGGTTAAAGAGGTTGACTTTTAAAACCAATGTTTATAACACCAGAAATTTTTTTTTTCCTTATATTTATACATCTAACATCTTTAGCAATAGTAAATGGTGAAAATAATACCTATGATAAGCAGCATCTATTTTGATATAATCACCAACTAATGGTTGTTGTAATCTATTCACTATATCATCTTTACAACGTAATATACTCTGTAGATGATTATTTAAACTTTTTATTTTTTCTATCTTATTCTCTGAAACAGTCAATACATGTGTATCAATATCATTTTAATGGAAATATATTCTGCAGCAATAAGGGTGATATCTCAGTAGACCCCTTTAATAAAAATCACCACTTGAAAGATGTAGGCCTACTAGCACTACCTATTTAATCATATTTCATGATTTTCTATTTTAACGAAATCTCCTCTTACTTCTATTATTATACAACATACAGTGATACAGCATTACAATAAATTCTAATAAGAAGATTGGGAGCCCAACTATTTTACCTATTCTATCAAGATGTGTTATATCTTGTGTTTCTCTGTCTTGTTTTCTCTTTTGAATCTCAAGGTTAACCTACAAAACAACAAATCAAACATAGTTTTCATATGGTTACTGGTACTGGTTTTTAAATTAATGTGAATTATGTAAAATGCAAAATTGCATAAATCATTCTGCAAACTAGCCTAGGCTACTGAAAATGCTCATCTTACTGTTTTTTTTTTTATGTTAATAAACACCTACTTCATTCAATTCTCGACGTTTTCTAGATATATCTCTTTGTACAGTTATAAGTTTTAATGATGGAAGTATTTCTTGATCAGTGTAATTGTTAGAATCTTCAAAGCTGGACTCATCTGGATATCTCTACAAAATAAAGGTTGAATTTTTCATACTGTTCATACTCTATTCTGTCTATTAAGTAAGCATTAACTGCTTCTAGAACACCTTAAAGTTGACTTGTTGTTTGCTTAACTGGGGTGCACACTAATTATGACTAAAAATTGTAGAGTTGTTATTGGCTGCTTTATTAATACGGTACTAAAGTCCTTGTTGTTATAGCATGAAGCTTGGACAGAATTTCAACTGGTCATCTTTCCATGCAGTGTTAAGGTTGGATTTGAACTGGTTCAGGGTTGCAGATTCCACGACAGAGTTTGGTAAGGAATTCCAAGAGTTTACTATTTTGTGACAAAAGCAGTTTTTTCTGACATCCAATCTTATTTGATGTTTTTCTAGTTCTTGGAATGCTACAGTGGTTAATAGGGCCTACTAATAGAAAGTAATAGGCCTACCAACCAGATTGACTGAAACATCGGTCTCTATTCTAGCCATTTTCATTGTAAGGATAAATTAATGTTATGTTAGAAAAAAACATATCTTCGGAGGTGAGGACATAGACAGGGCCATTAGCTGAATACTGTTCTATGATCAGAGGCAGATGTTTCGCCTTTCGGACTGTGTAGGCCTACCGGGCTACCAAAAAAATGTGCACAAAAACACTTGCAACCTTTTTAATGTGCCCTGTTCTCTCTCCAAGAATTAGAGCATTTTTAATGGATGTTAAAGATTTATCTTCACTTATCCACGGGTTATTGTGTGGCTCAGGAATACTAAATGATGTCATTTTACAGGACAGAGTTTGTGTTTTTGTATCTTTCCGCCGTCACTTTCCTACCTTTATTTGAAAGAGTTCCAATGGTAAACGTTTTATTGTAAAATGGCATCTCAATTTAGTGGCGCCCTACAACTAACAGATTTAGATGATTACATTACTCCATCCCAGGTAAACTTCGTTATCCGACTCAGATTATATTTCATAACTATGAATGAATAATTTAATTGGAAACACTGATATTATTTAATATTTGTTAGTTCCATATTATAAAGGGAAGTACCGTAACAAAAAATAACATCACTACTTCAGACCACATCGGTCTTTCGACTCCAAATATTTATAAATGAGCATGTATAGTGTATGCAATATGGTTATGGATAGATACTTTATAAGTATAAGCATGGTATAGTAAACATGTACAACAACTCTTTGCTTTAGTTCATTAGATATTAACATCACACTGAGTAGTTTTGAACTTATAAACCCTGTTTCAATTTTCAATGCCACTGTTTAGGAGTGTGTAAAACCAGTTAAAATAGAAAGAAGACCAGGTAAAGTTGGGAAGATAAGAATAGAAGATGATGGTAATTATTTAGAAGTATCAGAGGTTTGTAAACAATAATATCTCATCAACAGTTTGTTCGCTATATCAGTTGTACGTACTAGAAATAACCAATCCTACTTATTATTTGAGGTCCTCCTTCATTGCATTTTATATTAATTTTAATCATTCTATTCTAAGGTATAGCAGTTAGTAAGTGATAAAAACCGTGATTTTTCTGATGTTTCTTGATATTTTTGTATTTTAGGAGGGAGAAGAAACTAAGTTAGAGAAAGCTAAGATTACTCTGAATGATTGTCTAGCTTGTAGTGGATGTATCACCTCAGCTGAAACAGTTCTAATTACTCAACAAAGTCAAGATGAACTTTATAGAGTTTTACAACATAACTCCACTGTTGTTCAGGTAGGCTTTAATGTTGAAAACAAAATATTTGATTTGCAGTGGGACAAATCAGCATTATGTTGGTTGGTCGTTTGGTAGATGACAACTTAATGTTCGCTTCCAGCAGATGCTGATATCGCAAACTAGGTAATTGTTGGTAGTCTTGTCTTAGTAGTTGGTAGTTGGATTGGTCAAAATTGGATGATTCTTTGTTGTTGGTTTGGTTGTTGATAATTCGTTAGATCTGGACGGGTCCAATGATGAAACTCGGCCCTGGATGGTGTGGCTTGAGTTACACGATCTCCTTCATTCTTCCAAACTCGTTCTAATCATGGTTATTCTTGTTGATTGGTAGTCGTTGGTTTGGTTTGGTTAGATTATCTAATAAATGTTGGAAAACTAGAAGACCTAAAAAAAAGAAAAAAAAAAGAAAGAATGCGAGAAAAGAGGTGAAAGAGAGAAGAATAAATAAAAGGGGGAAAAGCTTTCAAGAAAAGCGGGAAAAGATGTTCTCTGATGTTTCTGCAGTGGAACTTGTTAAATTGATGGGATATGATTAACAAGTGTTAAGAAACTTTGAGAATAAAAACTTAGCCTATCTGTTCAAGACAGATTTGGTTATAAATTGGAAGACGAGTATACCAGTGGTCTGTGGGTGGAGCCAAAACATTCTGTATGGTGAGTGGTATGGTTGGTTTCCAGGTAATCTGTCAGTGGCTTACGAGCAGGTTTCAGTGCAGTGCATTGAATGAGGACATTCGACCCTGTGGCAACGTGGTCACAGTACATTGGTGGTCTGGAGTCTGGTTACCACTTTGCAGATGGATACAGATGGATGGATTGGTTTGGTTTGGTATCTTCTGATCAATCTGACATCTATCGGTGTTGAGGTTCCGTAGCATGTCAGCCCATTTCTGGCTGATCCTAGGAGATACATTAAGAGCTACAGGTCCTTTTTATGTGTTTTTTTTTAATTACAGAATGGTCAATCTGAATTAAAGAAGCTAGTTGTGGTTTCATTAGCACCTCAATCTAGATCCTCGTTAGCAGTGAAATATAATCTTAGTTTAAGTCAAACATCATATAAATTAACAACATTCTTTAAAAATTTAGGTAAGATGAATGTTAAATTATTTACTTTTAAAAATGGTATATCCATGAAGTATGGCCATCCCATCTTATCTGATGTTCGAATATTTAACTTTATGGTATAAAAAGGTCATTTATATTCTTAATATTTTCGGCAATTTCCTTCAGATTAAACAAACTTAAAATATTCCATTATCCATGTCTTTTCTTCCACTACTATTCTGATTTGTAGTTTTCATATTATTATATATTATGTTAGTTTGGTTTAAAGTAGTCTAACTGTATTTTTCTCAATATTCTTGGAATATTTATTTTTTGAGGATGTCCACTTTTTAAAATGTTATACCTTTTCATTATTGATATTATATTTTTCATTTTCAGGGGTAGATTATGTTTTTGATACAAATTATTCTAGAAATTTTAGTTTGATAGAATGTTGTCATGAATTTGTAAGAAGATATAAAGAAAGAGAAAATGATAAAACAGCTTTACCTATGTTAGCTTCTGCCTGTCCAGGTAAAATTTTAGTTCTTAATACTGATGGTCCAATTAATGGTCCATTGTTGTGTTTATAGATTGTCCTTTTGGGACAATTTTATCTATTATGTCAAAAATGTCTTTTAGGATGGATATGTTATGCCGAGAAGACCCATGGTTCATATATTTTACCATATATCAGTACTACCAAGTCTCCACAACAAATAATGGGTTCATTAATAAAAGACTATTACTGTAAACAACAAGGCTGTACACCAGACCAGATATACCATGTAACAGTAATGCCTTGTTTTGATAAGAAATTAGAAGCTTCCAGACCAGATTTTTATAATGATATATATTCAACTAGAGATGTAGACTGTGTTATAACTTCAGGTATGTATGTTTATTCCTTGATTTATGATCGAATATGAAACCAAATAACTTCGCTTCCCCATAGATTGACCTTTGACAGCAAATGCCTGCCCACTCAAATAATTGATTTAAGGGACAGTTGATTTTAGTCTTGAAAATATGGAAATAGTCTTCAGAAGTACTAGAAATGTATGGCGAGTCGTCATTTTAACATTCAAACGCAGATAATTCTGGACACATATGGATTTGAAGGCTCAAATTTTGACGGTGGGCTATGAACTCTTTTACTGATTAACTCGACAAAAACGTCCAATTTCTGAGACTAAAGTATGATTGGTCAAAAAAATGGCCTACTTGTCCCTTTAAGTTTGATGATTGATTTTAATTCTGTAAGGAGAAGTAGATAAAATGTTGGAGAAAGAAAAGTTGAATTTAGCTGAAATAACAGATTCACCATTAGATACTTTGTAAGTTCTAACTTCCATCTGTCCAGATCAGAGATCTTACATTTACATTGTTAGTGCAATTGATATACTAAATTTATAGTTTCATTAAGTAAGCCCATACTGTCAAACTTTGTACAGAGTGGTATCAATGTTCCAAGGTGGATGAGTATGCTCTTCCTTCTTGTATCACCGAAAAAGTCATTGTATTGCACTAATTCTATATAGTCTACAGTGTCCTGATCATAAAATGTCAACAAAGAAAGGTAGATAGAAAAATGGTATGATGCATATGGAAGCTGTACACATTCAAAGAAGAGAAAACATTTATTTCAATTCATTATCTGTATGTTATAGATTTAGTAATGTTATTAATGAAGATTTAGTAAGTCATGAAGGAGGTGGTTCTGGTGGTTATCTTCATCACATTATTAAATATGCTGCTAAACAACTGTTTGAACTAGATATACAAAATATACAATATAATGTTCTCAGGTACAGATTTTACTTCCTATAACCCATAATATTAAATTTTTTGTGCTGATTGCTGCATGAATATTTTGTTGTATTTTATATGAGATTTCAGATATTCAAGGGTTTGTCTGAAATTCTCCATAAAGTTAGTTTTGAAGTAACTCAATGTTGTGATTGTATTTTGCAATTTTGTTTAACATTATGCATATTTTTCAGAAATAAAGATTTTCAAGAAGTTGTTATTGAAAAAGATGACCAAGTTTTACTCAAGATGGCTATTGCATATGGTTTTAGAAATATTCAAAATATTGTTCAAAAGATAAAGAGAAAGAAATGTCAGTATCATTTTGTTGAAATAATGGCATGTCCGTCTGGTTGTAATAATGGTGGAGGACAACTTCGACCGGAGTCAGATGAGACAGTGAATGAACGTCTAATACGAGTCAATGAGTTATATCAAACTGAACAAACATTAGATCCATTTGATAATTCTAACGTAAAGAAACTATATGAAGAATGGTTAAATGGACAAGAAAGTGAGAAAGCTAACAGTTTATTACATACTCAGTATCATGAAGTAGAGAAAATGACCAATGCGTTGAATATCAAGTGGTGATTTTATAAGTAACATTTTACACAAATAAAAAAACATGAATTAAATGATGCTCTTCCAATTAAATTGTATTATTTAAAGAATCCTCTTTTAAGAAAATAATGAAGTTTGAATAGATGTCATTCTACTCCCTAACAGAGATTCAAATACAGAAAAACTTTCAATTTATCATATTTATTTTATATTATAGACACTTTGTACAGTTTACCATTAACATAACATTAAAACAACTTTAACTGATCAAAGTATACAAAAATTAACTTGATAAGTTTATAGTAAAATAAAGTTTGTAAAATACCAGTTTAAAGTTACTCAGTTTAGAGAAAATCTTGCTGTCCCCATTCCAGATAGTTTACACACTGATTGTTCTAAACACATTAAAACCACTAATAGCAGTACTAATAATCACACCTGGTATTTGAGAATGCCAGTGCAGTTCTTTAATCTCAGTTTGTCCTTGATGTATAAATAGTAACTGAGGGGGGATATCTGGTTCCTGACTATTGTCTCCATCTCTCTCTACAGCTAGATCCCATAATGTTATCTGATTATCTTCTCCTGATGCAGCAAATACAGAACAATCAGTAGGATGCCATTCAACTGATGTTATGGCTGATTTATGGTGTTTGAATAATGCTGCTGGTTTACCATGCTGAAAACAAACAAAAGATAGATAAGATCAGCGTGTCCACATACTTCCTCGGGGCCATGGTAACACAAGTGAGAAAAATAGCTTGCCAGACAAGGTAATATACGCCAATGGCAGCTTTGATTTTGAATAAAAATATTTAGCAGTACAGTAACAATTACCAGTATGAAACAATCAACCTTCAGTCATACACTTCTCTTGAACTCTTTAGGGCGATACTGAATAATATTGAGTATGATTTGTATGAGTATGATATCTTGTTCTTGAAATCGTGTTCAATTTTTAGCTCGTAAACACTCATGAGGGCAAATATTCAACTTTCAGCATAATAAAACCCAAGTTTTGTCGAAATCCGGCAGAAACACGCCTTTTCTAAGGGTACATCCATAGGCGATATAAAACAATTTCGTCAAAAATCTGTCAAGAATTGAGCCTTCTAGAGTGTTCACAGGCTAAAGATTGAACGCCTTCTCAAGAACAGTGGCAGTAACTCCTACTAAATGCTTTTTGATTTTTCTGATTTTCGATAGGGTTCACACTTGGGTGATAATGAACACTCACACCAAGTTTCGTCGAAATCTGTCAAGAATAGTGCCTTCTAAAGTGTTTACGAGCTAAAAATTGAAAGCGTTTCAAAGAACAAACTAAATATTTTTTGATTCTTCTGATTTTCAATAGGGTTCATCTTTGGGTGATTATGAACACGCACACCAAGTTTTGTCCAAATCCGTCAAGAATTTTGTTTTGTATAGTGTTTACGAGCAATTGTGGTCGGACCGCCTCATGGACATGGGTGACGGCAATATACGCCCCCCCATTTCATGAGGGCGTATAAAAATAAGAGTTCTTGCCCACTGCACCTTATCAGGTAGAAGGGGTGAAAGCTGACACTGGACTGACTTTCGAAAGCACTGGCACAGGCATGAGAATTTTTCTTACATTCGAACCCACAGCACCTAATCACCTAGCAGACAAAAATCAAACTTGCTACCGCCTGCTTATGAATTATAGTTTGATAATTATTAGATTGTTCGAAACTTTTTACATAGTTTACAAGTACAGCATCTTAAATAAACTTCAAAACTCAATACAAACCTGAAATTGTCTGAGGTCCCAAACTTTAATAGTTCCTTCATCTCCACCACTCACAATAAATGGATCATTTTTATTCCAATGTATCACATTGATATCACTATCATGAGCTTTCCTTGTAGTTAACATACAGGCAGTTTTTGGTGCTGATCTCGAATCCCATACTCTTATTGATTTATCAACAGAGCAAGATGCAAAGACCTAGAAAACATATCAATAGTATTAACATAAAGCCAAATCAAAACATAGTTCTTCATCATAAATAAATTCACACATTAATTTTTGGTAGAATGAGTTGAACTCTAGTCAACAAGCTAATTTATCTCTACAAAAAAATTATAACTTACATTATCTTCTGTAGGAGACCATTGAATATCTTCTACAGAATCAGTATGACCAGAAAAAGGTTGTTTACTAACATCCCACCCTGAAGCTGTTGGTGTCCATAGATGTATATCTTTCTTACAGTCACCAGATAATAGTTTACCTAGAATAATTAAAGGACTATGGTTAACATTGAACACTGTAGAACAAATGACCATTGTTTTAAACTATAAAGCATACTTCCTCGGTATAGATTCTTACAGAAAAAAAAACAACATTTCTGATACCTGTCATATCATTTCTAAAACACTTCTTTTCAAAGTTATTAATTGTGCCCTTCTTTCTACCACCCTAGCAAAAATAATAGTCTTACCTGGTGATAGTTTGGACCAATCTAAAGCATAACCTTCAGTTTTATGACCTTTAAATACATGTATAGGTTGTGGAGATTCTTGTGTTCTAGTGTATTCACCCATCACATCTGAACTGTTTAAAGCATTAATTGGTCTGGTTAAATCCCAGATATAAACTTTACCCTTCTCTGACCAGGTAGCTGCAACATTCTTCTCACCTAGTACTGTTGTCTACAACAAAATACAGTTATTTTTTACATGTATATTAGCTACCAAAGATGATAAATTAAAAAGAACACATCTGTTATAGTCAAATTTCCTTTTAAATGTAAACAGCTACTTAGATGAGTACAGATAGAAATTAAACCAATACCCCTGGAATAAAAATTATCTCTTTGTGAATGATACTGGCTAACATGGGTAATGAACTGTACATGTATAGGGGTGTATATGAAGATGTGCAGCTTTGGTGTCACTCAAAATTAAGTGGACACGTCACGATCTATCACTACTTACCCTTATTCTATTGACACAACCATCATGTTTGACTGTAGCAGTTTCTAATTCTGGATCATCATCTTCATCATCATCATCATCACTGTCATCGTCATCATCTTTCTTCTTAGTTTCATTTAAATTACTCATCTTCATCACAATTATTTTATTAGTTTTAATACCATCAGTCTGACTACCAGCAGCCATATAACAGGTATGGGGGTATTCTTCACGATTCTCTCCCAGATGATCACTCAATATATCAAAACTTAAACAGGGTGAATCTGGAAGGAAAGAGGTTTTATTTCATAACATAAAAAGATAGTTGAAATTTGTCCATCGTACATATTTCATTTATAAACAGTATTGCTTGCATTACATATTTGGAAAGATGAAACATTTTAATTCCTTTAAGAAAATTGATCTGTAAATGGTTTTGTTGATCAATCTGCTTAAAACATTTTAATCCAATCATTTATAACCTATCCTATAGTGACAATGTTGTTTTTTTGTTTTTTTTTTATCTAGGACTAGGGTGTTTTCAAACCTTGATCTAGTTTCTAAAGACATACTGTGAAAAATGGCATTTTATTTTGAATATCTATTGTGTCATAGAAAATATGCAGGTAAAGTGGTAACAAGGCGGTGAAATCATTGATGAATAGCGTCAATGGCAATGTAATTGTAAATGATGACGATCGAAACGCCTGTTGTTAATTTAATATTACTCGTTTAATTACCTGTCTGGGCCTGATGGTACAAGTGATAAGCTGATTCATCACAAACTAACTGTTCTCCATCTTCCATTTCATCTCCTGGCAAATAAACTTGACGTTTAGGTTTGCTAGTTGATCCATTTTCTTCTTCGTTCATTTCAACATCGTTGTCATTTTCGGAGGCCATTTTGCTAAATAACACGTGCTTCCGGAGTCGTGACCTGATTTGACCTCAGTTAACCTCTTTATTCAGCCAATGAAACGTCTCGAAATCAACCATGTCTGAACTTCTTCGATACACTGTAAACAAATATGGCGGAGCCGCTGTGGAAAGAAAGGTAAAAATTTAAAAAAAACAAAAGAAATGCTTGAATTTATGTTTATGACTTGACTTTGTTTTGATGAGTTTTGCATCATGATCATCACATCATATTTCAACCCAGACTCCGAAAGATGATAATGATAACCAGTGTCAGTGATGTTGGTCAGAAAACAGACAAGAAAAAAATGAAAATGTTTAACTGCAAAGCCAAAGCAATTGAGTCAATACTGTTAATGACTTCTATTTCCATTCTATTTTATTTAAGTGAATTTGAATTGAATAGATCTTTAAACATCAAAAGGGTTAGCTTACTTACAATAATCTTTTGTTGATATAAATGTTTGCAAGTTTACATTGAAAAGAAATACACTTTTGTCTCAGAAGTTTTTACTGAAAATTATCATCTGTATTATAAACAATTTCCAAAGTGATACTGTGTGCTCATTTTTATAAGCTTATCATCCCAAACGACAAAATCGTTTTAAGATTTTAGCAGCCGGACCTACAGTTCAAAGCCTGTAATCAAATTCACTTTGATACAAATGGGAAAAATTCGATATATACCAAAAAGATTACTCTTACAATAAACACTAACTACATGATTGAAGACCCCTTAATAACATTATTTTGTATTGAAAAAGGCCTGAAAATTATCACAATCATTTTTGTTGCTCATCACATTTGTTTATCAGATTTAAGAACTAATTTAATCATTAGCCTAGTATGATTATGTAATATATTATTGGTGTAGTTAACCGGAATTAAACAAAAATGGCACTTTCCTGTCAAATTGAATCGATGATTTTTTTTTACAGGGTAAGTCCAATGCTAAGTCATTATATTCATGCAATAAATATATTTTAATCATCAATTGTTTTTAATCATAAGTCATGTTGTTGATTGTAGCCATTTTCTATTTAACCGATGATGTTTTGCACGTAGTTACAAACTGACCAATCACAAAATACCCTGATAATTGTTTATACCTACAATACATTCCAAGACCATAACTGCTATTTTGCAGTGAAATTTTACAAAGGTTACTTGATTGTCTATTAATTGATGATCAAAACTGACCTTAGATTTGAATTCTGAGACTGAGTAGGCTACTGTATCTCTAATTCTATTCTAACTAGTAATAAAATAAAACAATTAAAGATCCAGAAATCTATTTTGAGGCAGACACTCTGGTAATGTAACTGTAGTTCTTATCTGTAAGTGTAAGCTTACTTGATATAATATTTCAGTTCCTTGAATTAATCTTAAACTTGAAGACAGAAGCAGTAAAGTGTAAGCTTAATTTAGGTTTAAGCCCATTGCAACATTAATTAAACATGATGATACTTTTGTGATAAAGGTAACAGTTAGCAAATTCAATAGCAGACATACACCTCTAGATAATACTCTTTCCCCAATACTTCATACGAATAATAGAAATAGTTATTTCTCAAGGTTTGTAGACTACAGATAGATTGTGGTACATGTATATTATTATAATAAAGTAAATGAACAATGTAGGATTAGCAATTTACCATGATCTGTCATTGATTTAAAATAAAAAGAAACTAGGAAAACTGCATAAGCTTAATATTTTCAAAGGAATAAACAAGTTTTCACTTCTTGTAGTCCTAAAGGAAAATCATAAACTTTAAATTGGCAGAACTGATTACAGAAGCAAATTAAGAAATATAGACTTATTAGACAATAGAAATTTCATATAATAAATGTACAATATGTACTGGACCAGGTTGGACTCATGAACCTAATTGTAAAGGTCTGATCAATTTACATGATAAAAGATTGGTATGTAATTGAAGGCAATTCTTATTCTAAATATGAATTGTCATTTGTCTCCTGCATAGTAACTGCAGTTAGCTTATAGTAGAATATTGAAAGCACATGTGATTTCTGCCTTTATTTACGAAAAACTGATGAAAACAATTGCCATCTATAGCAAATTTCATATAGATAATATGACTAATAAGTTAAAAACTTTACTGTACTCAGTCTAGCAAAATATACAAGATAACTATTTTTCGATCATATCTTGGTAAAAGGCCAAACTTGCAGTGTTTCTTTTTTTTGGATGACCCAAAGAAGTAAGAGTTAGAACTTGATGATAGAAGTTCATTATCAACAAATTGCTGCCTTGATTGTTATGTTTCTGTTCAGTATATAATCTTTTGATCTTTCTTGCTCTTTAATCTATGAAGTTGAAGTTGGTCAAGCGTATTATAAGAAATATTCATGGGATTTCAGTGTATTGTTGTATTGTAATGAAATATTAAGGCCATGAAATATGTTGTTGATGATAATATTGTGTGTTGTTATGTTGTGAAGGCGTGCCATTTCTATGTTATCTGTAATAAATTATAAAAATTGATTTTTCTGTCATTATGATTGTTTTCTGTAGGTAGATTATCATATTGACATTAAGACTATAAAAAGCTATGGTATTAAATTGATTTTTTAGTCCCAATTGACAACTTCTCACCGTTCATTCTTTCTTTAATCTTGTATTATGATTTATAGTGTTTACACTCATAGAACTCTAGCTAATTGTTATTTTCCCATATCTATAATTATCAATAAATGAAATTGATATAACAGCTTATTATAAGTACCGGTACATGATCTTATTGAATTCATGTTATAGACTATTGGTAGATCTTTACATTGTAACAATGGGATGACTGCAGATCTTAATCCTTTTGATAAGTAAGCCAAGATATGTATCAGATTCAATGTGAGAAATTATGCTATCCATTGAAGATTGCAAGTTTACATGAATATTTTATCACAATGAGGGAACAGCACTAGCATATGGCCCTGGCATTATTTAGCTTAAATAATGTTGCAAATACAAGTGTTAAGGGTCTTTTTAAAGGACAATTCCTTCAAAAATACCTCAAACTAGGAATTTCACTTTCAAGAAAAGATGATGAGTCGACATTTTAACTTTCAAACACTTATAACTGTGGACACATATGGCTCAAATTCCAACTGATATGTGAACGCTTTATCTGATGAGCTTAACTAAACAATTACAAATTTTGAGACTAAGGTACAATTTGCCAATTGGATGGCTAAGTCTTTGACATACACTGCAGCTACAAAGCCTACCTACACAGTTATATTGTAAGTGCTAAATTCAATGGGTCAATGAGGTGCATAAGTCTAGAGTTAATCAATATATAATATTGTAGATGGCAAAGACTGAAGCTTGATTAATATCTTTTGAAATAGGTTTTAAGCTTCATAAAAAAGTGGATACAAAAGCTTTCTTCAGTTTACTTAGTCTGTGTTCCCAGGTTCGAAAATATTATAGCATTATATAAGTCACATATTTTATCTCATTTACTTGGTTACAAACGATATCTCCAGCTCTTCTTGCTGATTGTTAGTAAGCTACATATAGTTCTGATTTTGCTTTAAGTTGGCCAACTTATCTCAATGAAAAGCAAACTGCATTCTTTTCTTAAGACTGTACATTGTCTTAAGCATCATGGTTGGCAAGTTGTTTGTGTTTTTTAAAGATGAGTAACCACATATTTTAAGTATCATTAGAAGAACATTATTCAATGAACTCAAGTCACTGGTGTTTCTTATGAATTATCCATGTATTTTTGAAAAAACATGTGGAAGTAGAAAAGCTTGTATATTTATATATGCCCACATGAAACTCTGAGCGTATATTGGCCTCACCCATGTCTGTCAGTCCGTCTACAATTGCCTGTCAAGCTATCTTTGTATTTTAATATTATGTACTATTAAACCTATTTGGAAAGACATATGGTAAGTCACAAATGATTTAAGTCATTCATAATGTTTTTTCAAAATAAAATTTGAATATATCTTTTCCTTTTTCATAGATGATAAACAGAATATCAAAATTATGAGTTTTAACCAGATATCCATATATGTGCAAGACTGGATAATCAAGACTTTTTGATTATTCTTGATTGATCACTCTCATGAATTCAGTCGGGAATTCTCTTCTTAACTAGCTAATTACAGGTTAATTAGAGACTCCTGAAACAACTCATACTTTTACTTATCATAACAGTACCTCTACTTTTTATTATACATCCACATGAATATGTGGTCGTATATTTCGTCGCCCCTGCCCGTCGGTCCGTCGATCCGTCCGTCCGTCAACATTTCTTGTGAGCACTATAGAGACTACAGTTTTCATCTGATTTTGATAAAACTTGGTGTGATGCTTTAGATTGATAAGATCTCGGTCAAGTTCGTAATTGACATATTTTCGATGAACAGTTTTTGAGATATTGCCCTTGACTTAGAACGCCTTGAAATTTGTTAAAAATTGTTCATGAGCAGGATTGAAGCTACAGTTTTCATCCGATTCTGATGAAACTTGGTGTGATCATTGGAATTCATTAGATCTCAGACAAGTTGTAACTTGATGCATTTTCGATGAACGGTTTTTGAGTTATTGCCCTTGACTTTGTTAAAACGCATCGAAATTTGTTAAAAATAGTTCGTGAGCAGGATTGAAGCTACAGTTTTCAACCAATTCTGATGAAACTTGGTGTGATCATTGGAATTGATAAGATCTCGGACAAGTTCTCACTTGACACATTTTCGATGAACGGTTTTTGAGTTATTGCCCTTGACTTTGTTAAAACGCGTCGAAATTTGTTAAAAATAGTTCGTGAGCAGGATTGAAGCTACAGTTTTCAACCGATTCTGATGAAACTTGGTGTGATCATTGAAATTGATCAGATCTCGGACAAGTTCTAACTTGACGCATTTTCGATGAACAGTTTTTGAGTTATTGCCCTTGACTTTGTTAAAACATGTTAAAATTTGTTAAAAATAGTTTGTGAGCATGATTGACACTA